ATAAAACCATATAAAATATATATTTTAAAAAACTGAATGGGCAGGTAGAACCATACTAATAGTAGCCAAAAAATTGCCAGAAACTCCACAGACATCCTAACCTCAGACCTAGGAACAGAGCCAGCCATTTATTGTTTATTTAAAAGCTTTGTATAACTGCCCATCTTAAACAACTCTAGGTGGCTCAGAAAAACATTAATACCAGTAACTATTAAACAATTGGGGAAAAAAACCCAACCCTGAGCCTTAACCATCCTGTTAGGATGTCTTGCCTCAAGCTCCAATTACCTTCATTCTATTTCTTCTACTTTAGTCTATCTTCCCAAAGGCTGCCAAATTGCTGGAAGGAGAATATTCCATGTTCTTAAAGAGGTTTATGAAATATTTGAAGGGAGAGAATTATAGTTATCTTGGGACGAAACGTATGCTTTTCAGAGACCAGATACCATATCAGAGAAGGTGTGCTTCCTTGGACAATGGATGTTGTCCATTGATGGCAATATTTAATACAAAGAACCCAAATCATATCCGCTTTGCTTGATTTTACCAGATGAGTGGAAACTATTGGAGACAGGTACTCCCTCAAATAATCAGATCTCTCCAGGAAAGGCTTTAAGGTAACCACCAGCATCTTGAATTCTACCTGGAAGTCAACCAGCAACCAATGCTATTCACAAAACAGTGATAACATGGACATTAACATGAAATACTCATCACTGCCTGCATCCCTGCATTTATGTACTTGTTGCAAGAAGTTGAATTTAAGAATCCAGTACTGAAATCCTATATAAGAGGAAGATATTTTGTCACCTATAAAAGATGAGGATGCACTTTGTTCTACAATAAAAAGATTCAGGCTTATTTGGCTCTAACTTCTATTAACTAAATACACACTCTTCCTTTTATACAACCCTAATATTGTCTTCCAGCTATCTGGGCTAATCCCTTTATGCTTTTTTCTTCCTTTCCTATCCTATACAACTGCCTTTTTTTTCTTCATCTATGTGAAGGTTGGGTGGAATGGGATGAGAGTAGGTGGTCTTGGAAATATGGAAAGAGAAACAAGTTGTGCAAGCAATGAAAGCAATTGTTGAGTCAGGATCACCAACTGCTGGAGGCTATAATCAACTTTGTAATCATTAACAGCCAGTTTTTCTTTTTGTCATCAGGACTCTTTAGTAGGCTAGCTGCAGACATCAGTTAGCTTTGGATAATAGCTAAGAACTAAGATTTTTCTTCATCTCTATAGCAGAAAGTAAATGGTTATCTGATAAACCATGTCAGTAAATTAAATACAGATAATCCTCAACTTATGACCACAATTGAGTCCAAAATTTATGTTACTATGAGAGAAATTTGCTACGTGAGTTTTGTTCCATTTTACAACTTCTTACCACATTTGTTAAGTGAATCACTGCAGATGTTAAATTAGTAACACAGTTGCTAAGTGAATCTGGCTTTCCCATTGACTTTGCTTGTCAGGTTACAAAAGGGACATGTCTCTGACACTGCAACTGTCGTAAATATTAGTCAGTTGCCAAGCGTCTGAATTACGATCACATGACTATGGGGATACGGCAATGATCATAAGTATGAAAAACGGTCATATATCACTTTTTCAATGCCCTTGAGACTTCAAATGGTCACTATATGAACTGTTGTAAATCGAGGACAACCTTTATTTACTCAAAAGTAAGTCAAGTTATATTCAGGGAATCTTACTGTCAGATATTTGTATATAGAATCATAGTCTTTACCACTGAATTCACATTGTGGCTGCGATTACATTGTACTAAACCATTGTTTACTGAATAAGCCACAGCTGGTTGAATTTTGGCAACACACAGCCCAAATCAAATGAATATTATAGTTTATCATGCTATGTGAACTAGACCTGAATGTCCATGTGATGCCAAATTATCATTTTTCTGTTCCAATTCTGAAGTTGGGAAAGAGAGACCAAAATTCTGTTATGGCTGCCTTCTACAGGACAGCTTCCTTCTTTAAATATGAACCTACAAGAATGAAATGGACAGAAATAATCTCCTTCATACACAAATGTTCTCTGGAAGTGAGGAATATCCTTACCCATTTTTCAACTCTAGCTTGTGAGGACTTTTTTTGCCCAATAATAAATACAATATTTGTCACCATTAGCAGAAATGTGGAACTGTGATCTAAGAAATCCATTTGTCTTCTCTTTAAATCAATTTGTATAGAAACTGAAGACATTTTCTTGGTAGGCTCTTCTTTATTTCAGATGTTTTTAAACAATTACTTTCAAGAGGTTTTAATCAATGGCTTTTTCCTGGGAGGAAGGGTTTACTCTAGTGCAGTGATGGCTAACCTTTTTGCCATCGCGTGCCAAAAGTGGAGGGAGCGCGGGGGAGTCACGCACACGTGTGCCCACATCCATAATTCTATGTGCCCTGCCCTCCATGCTTTCTCTGCTTTTGGCACGTGATGGCCCGGTGGGCCCGGTAGGCCCATTTTTCGCTTTCCCCAGGCTCCAGAGCCTTTCTAGGAGCCTGGGGAGGTAAAACATGGCCTTCCCCACCCCTCCTAGAGGCCCTCCGGAGGCTGGAAACAGCATGTTTACTGACTTCTGGTGGGTCCAGAAGGCCTAAAAATCAACTGGCGGAGCTGAGCTTGCGTGCCTACCAATATGGCTCCATGTGCCACCTGTGGCACCCGTGACATAGGTTCGCAATCACGGCTCTAGTGGAACTCTTGTAAATGAAACTGGAGTCTGAGGTGTAAATATCTTTATAAATATTAAATCTCTGGGCCTGGGGATAAATATGTTTATTATCTGAAAGCTTATCAGAAACTACTGTATTGGATCAAGGCAGATCATGGAGGAAGATAAAAAGATTTAACAAACTAGTCAAGATATGTGAAAGGAACCTGGGATGTACTGTAATCGCAGTAAATAAATATGGTGCCTCTGAACTTTCAAGATAGGAATAATATATCATTGAATAGAAGTGTGTGGGTGGGCGTGCATGCATGCGTATATGAATGCACATAAATATCCAAGAAAAGTTAGCCTAAGGGGCAGAAAGAAACATATAAATTAGTTGTACAGGTTTTGTTGCATCTTGTTCTTTTAGTCTTCCAGATGACACAGTACAACACTACTTTTATGGCAAATTGACAACTTTAGCCCTATCAGGATTGTCTTTATAGTTTTTTAGATATAGTTCCTTTTATGCTATAGCTGTTGATTTCATAGCCTGATTTTACTTCATATTCAATTAGAACAATCAGAGGTCTTCTAGTCAAATGCCCTGCTCAAGCAGGACACCTCATACCATTTCAGACAAATGGTTGTCCAATCTCTTCATACTCAAAAGATATTACCCACCTCCTATACCCATGATGGCGAACCTATGGCACACATGTCACCTGTTACATGTGGAGACATCTATGCGGGCATGCGAGCCAACACCCAGGTCAGCTCCACCATGCATGCCCATGTACCTCTCACCAGCCAGCTGATTTTTGGGTCTCTTCCAGGAGACCCCGTGCTGTTTTTGGTTCCAGGAGGCTTCAGGGAGGCCTGCTAGTACAAAAACGGGTGTCATGCATACACAGTGGACGAGAGGAGTGTGGGTCGGTCACACGTGCATACACAGGGCCAGGCGGAGTGCGGGGGGGGTGCACGCATGTGCAGGGGGCCTGCCCTGCAGGGGGCATTGCATTATGGGTGTCGGCATGCATGTGCTTTCAGCACCCAAGGAAAAAAATTATACAATATTGTATTCTTTTAACGCATACAGATAGTCCTTGACTTACAACAGTTCACTTAGTGACCATTCAAAGTTACAACTGCCCTGAAAAAAGTGAGTTATGATAATTTTTCACACTTGTGACCATTACAGCATCCCCATGGTCATGTGATTTGCATTCAGATGCTTGGCGACTGATTCACATTTATGACGGTTGCAGTCTCTTGGGATCATGTGATCACCTTCTGTCAAGGTGGTTTTTCAGTGGAAACCTCAATGAGGTTTCACTTAAACCAGTTTCACTTAACAACCGTGTTACTAATAACTGCAGTGATTAACAAATGTGGCAAGAAAAGTTGTAAAATGGGGCAAAAATCACTTAGCAAATTTCCCACTTAGCATCATAAATTTTGGGCTCAATTGTGGTCATAAGTTGGGGACTACCTACCTATACAATGCATAGGCTCAGAGACTGCAAGATTCAAGAGCCTGACCCCAGACTAAGACTAGGTAAGAATCTAAATCTAAATGTCAATACTTGAGCCAATCCATCATTTGTAGCAGGAAAACACACAGCAACGTTAACTATAACGGAGTTCGGGTCTTCGCTGGTTCCGCCAAAACGAGACAGACAACGTTCAGAGAGACAATCTCCTAGTTGTTATTGCGACCACCAAAAAGGGCCATCGCGTACATATAAAAATGATTTTGCTGTATAAAACGGAAGGAGAAGCAATGGGAAAAATGAAAGTGTTACGAATGAAATACGACTTTTAGAAATCACGAACAGTTCTTTTCTCCCCCCCCCCCCCCCGCCGCGGGGAGAAACTTGCTAACGAAGATCAGACACAATTCAATACAGAAAACTTGCGGGGGCGGAAGGCATCGGGTTGCAGCAATTGCAACGTCTGGGAGTTTGGGGAAAAAAAGAGGACCAAGAAAGCAGCGAAAGAAAGCAGAAAGCGGGCCGATTCTCAGACGCTGCTCACTTCCCTTCGTATTCTAACCTCCTCCTCCTCCAGAGTCGGGGGGAGGCGAATTAATAATTCCGGACTGAAGTTAAACGGGGCAGTGGGAAAGAAACTCTGCGGACAGATAAGCGAGGTAGAAGACAAAGCGAGAGGCTGGGGAAATGCATAAAGACGAAAGGACCGTCTGAAGAAGCCGTGTCGCTCCTCTCTCTCCACTCGTTTCTGACAGCAGAAACAGGGATCCGCCATAACCAGCCCTCTGAAAGGCGAGCGGGGGCGGCGCAGAGCAGAAACCCACCTGTCGGCGGAAAGGAGAAAGAGAAGCCGGCCGACCGCTTGCAGCCTCCTCCGCAGTTCAGCCTGAGACTATGAAGAAAGTGAACGGCCACGGAGAGGGAGAAGAAGACAACCGGTTACGCCCCCGCCTCGCCCGTCGTGCAATCACATCCTCCCATTAGCCTGAAATCCCGCCTCTTACGGCAGCTCCCGCTCAGGGGATAGGCCAATCCCCAAATCTTTTCGAGGAAGCCGGTCGACCATTCGCTTGTAAGAGCAGTTACGTCACTCACATAGAACCTCCTTGGCGTGGGCCTGCCCTTCAAAGTCCTCCCAATCCCGCCTCTTTTCAGACCGGTGGCTAGTAGGGCTCGTGATTTCTTTTAAATCATTCGGGCTATAGAGAAATGCTAGCAAGTCTCCTGGTTTTCTTTTTTGGACATTTTGGTCTTCTTCTTCTTCTTCCTCCTCCTCCTCCCTAAGCGGAAGTGAAAACTGACTGTACACATTTAATGGAGAATATTAAGATAGCATGACGTGTCTATAACATCCATGTTAGAAACATGCACGCAATGATTTTCTGTGCCGTAGACCCTGAAAGAGATAGTTAGTGTTGCCATGTCTGCTTCCAAAAAATAGTGGACAAGCGGGGGGAGGGGGGTGTTGGGGTGTTAAGTAGTAAAAAAAAATAAAAAAAATTACAATTAAATTATATATTTTCTTACAAACATTTTAAAACTTATTAAAATAATCACTTTGTATCTATGTATTTTATTGTTTGGCTGTTCACCGCCCTGAGTCCTTCGGGAGTAGGGCGGTATACAGATCAAATAAACTAAACTTCAAAACTTTACTTAAAATTCAAAACATCAAATATATTATAATAATATGTAAAATATTAAATTACATTTTACTTTGCTGTCGTGTGTATTTTTTATTTGACTACACAGCTTTGATCAATTCTTTGTGTTTAAGGAATAATTCTTTAATTTCAGTACAACGTTGAGAAATATTAAAAAATATACGAAGTTCATTTCGAACTGATACAAGTGGTCGGTTACATTCGTCAGTCCACAAATTTCCCATTACACTGAAAATTCGTTCAACGTTTGCATTTGATACCGGAATTGATGCACAATACTGGAACAGCTTCAGTAAACTTGGAGTTGGCTCTTTCTTGAAAAAGTACATCCACTTATCAAGGGATGAATCGCCCTGCAGATGAACATAAACTTCTAAGGCAGAAATTTCATTGAAGAGAGTGTTGGGTGGAAGTTCTTCTCGCCATGGTGATAATAACCAGATGTTTGTCATTTCTTCTAAAGTTGGAGGATTATTGCGATCAATTAGATTGAAACAACTTAGCATCTCATATACTGAATCGGTGAAATTATACCACTTTTCTAGGTACGCAATGGCTCTTTGATACACGTTGATAGCTTCTTTCTTGAACTTTTGCAGGGCATTCTCAGGAAAATGGTTTTTAAGTAAGGCAAATAAAACTTTCATTCCAAAAAACTGCTCATCGTATTTTTTTTGCAAAGAATCACGCAGCTTACACATGATAATGTGAAGATCACATGCAAGAATTTTCTTGCTTTCCAGCTTCAGTAGGGTGGCTTGCATTATTGACATGAAGAAGTGCGTGAAATATAAATACAATTCTGAAATGGTTGGTTCATTGTCCTTTGCGAGTTCATTTTCCTGATCCGAAATAAGGTTCCAAATAACCTTATGGCACTCATCAGATCCAAGAGAAATAAAATACGATTTTAGAGGTATCCAGTTTAAAAGAAGTCTTTCGACCACTTTAAACAAACTTAACCAACGTGTTGGAACATGGGGCAAAACTTCATGGAATTCTGACTCGCAAAACTCAAAAAATGATTTCAACTCTTCTCGTTTTTTCGCAGAATTCAAAAATTCGACAAAAACCTTCAGCACTACATTTTCGATATCAAAAGATAACTGCTTTAATGCATTTTTTGCGCTGTTGTGTAAAATGTGATTATTGCAATGAGCATTCAATCTTTGTCTCATTCTAACTTATGAAACAAAAGACAAAACACAATTCTCCTATCCTTATTCTCTTAGACTATACATCTTTAGATTACGTACCATTTCATCATAAAGCTTTTGAATAAAAAAAATGTCCACTATTTTGTGAAAAAAAATAGTGAACATAATGTGAAAAAAGTGGACTGTCCGCTCAAATAGTGGACGCTAGGGGGAAAAAAACAAAATAAGAGTACTGATATTTTGGGAATTTAATGTTAGAGAACACTAAAAATACCAAGGGTGAGTAAACAAACAAATAAATCATGTAGCCAATCGAGTCAGAGTTCTCACCTGAGGCACAGATAATCAGGTCCAAATTATATTTTGGACACATTACATGTGTTACATGTCACATGAAGACTTTGCTTTCTGGAGAAGATCTATATTCGAATATCAATATCTGGGTCATCTAATAATTGAAGTACAGCATTGTTTATATAAACATAAATCAGACACTGGTCCAGTATATGCCCTTAACTTACAGCCAGTCACAATGTGATCTACAATTTGATGTGGGTCCCAGCAGTCACACTGGGGGGACGATTCTATGCCCCATTTATACAGAGAGTCTTGGCAGATACCATATGAGGTACAAATCCTATTTAGGATTGTCCTTTGCTAACATGGTAGTTCAAAGCCAGGCACCTTTTTTGTGGAGTCATCTGTATGTCTGTCTATGTCTTGGCATTCAGCAACCCATTTGCTTTTCATTGGGAATCTATGTTAAAATTGCTGGGCAGATGTTGTGCAAGTGCCAGTAGGGTCTTCCATTTGAGCCATTAGAGTCTTCTAGCAAATAAATGAGGGAGATAGGCATGCATTGGTAAGAGTGAATAGTTCATATTTTTTCTGTATTCCCTCACTAGTGCATCTTGCCTTTGTATCTTGCCTGGTTCAGAAAAGGAAGCCAGCAAGTTGGAGTGGTTTTAATATATCCACTTATAATCTTCAAGGTGTCATTGAGTTTGCATCTAGCTTACTAGTATGGCACCTATTGAGCCATATAGGGGCACAGTATTCTGTTGTGGAATAGACCAACCTTTGTAGCTGATAACCTGAGGATAGCAGCTGAAGTTCCTCATTTAGTTCCACAAAATTGTTGTATATTGTTCCTAGTATTTATTTTAGCTGTCATATTCTCTGGATGTATCTTATAGGAGAGAGTCCAGTCAATGTTTCTCTAAAATACTTTGAATGGGGATTATAGCGAAATAAGATGTTGCTTAAATAAATCTTCGGGGCTTCATATGCTAGTTTATTATTAAGGTGGAAGCATATAGCTACTGTTTTGCTGGTGCTAGGAGTGAACCTTCAGTCAGTGAAGAATTTTCCTAAGATTTTAAGATCTTTGGGCAGGAGGCTGCTTGCCACTTTCATGTGTTTTTCTTGTACTGCTATGGCCAAATCATCAGCGTATCCAAAATTGCAGCTCCTTGTCACCAGCATATCTGATATGTGTTAAGTTGAATAGCCTTGTGGGAGACCGTTGTTTAATCACCTTATCTTACTTATGTTGTCCCCCATTATCTGAAAGGATTTATCACTCATCATGTTATTAGTTAGTCGCCAGAGATTTTTGCAGGGGATAATATGGCACAGTTTGTATATCAGCCTGTCCTTCCAACTAAGTCATCTGCCTCAACTAGGTCTACAAATACAGCCGTGGTTTTGAGACCTAATTGGAATCCTGCTTCAATATAGCCTGCTACAATTAGCACCTGATCTACACAGCTCATGTCTTGTCAGAAGTCAGCTTGTTCCACAGGCAGATGTTCATCTATTATGGAACCTATCCTGTTTATAATTAATCTTTCCAGGACTTTGTAGCAGGAGTTCAAAAGTGTGATTGGGTGGTAACTTTCAGCTCTGTTTTGTGGTTTGCCAGGTTTTAGAAGTGATGTCATTTTAGCTTTTTGGAATTCTGGTGGGAATTGAAAACTATTGAAGCAGCTATAGAAAACTACATCTGAGAGAAATTTTCCAATCCAACTCTGTGTGCACCTCCCAGAGTTTATCAAAATTTCTATATGCTTTACCAATTTCCGACTACCAATGGCAGTGTCAATTTCCTTTATAGAGAAAGGACAACACTACTTAGAAAGTGTTTAGCCTGACCATGAAAAGCTGAAAGTGCTTACTTGATAAGAATGTGGTGTCTTTTCACCCTTGGAGCTTTAGGGAGAGATACAACTCAAGAAACTATTTAGTCAGAAGTTATATTGGATGTTTGCCATTGGTTTGTTTAGCTCCACCCAATTTCCTTAATAGGCTCCAAGCTTTCCTGCTAGATTTGAGATTTAGTGATTCTGTGTATTGTTCCCACTTCTTACGTCAAACTGCATTCAAATTGTGTAAGAGATCATTGGTGATCTCCAGATTACTACTCTGTAAGAAGGTCTGGTAGAGTCCTTCAGTAACTTCATTCCATCCTTGAATGTACTCCTTTCTAGTCAAGGTATATGTCTTTTCGCTGATGATGATTGCTTTCACAAACCTATGATAGTGCTGACTACTTGGTGGAATCCACCGTATAGTTTTATCAAGATTTTCGGCAAATTCGGACCAATTGGTTTTTTTTGAAAGTTCCATCTGGGCTTAGGAGTAGAATGAATTAGGGGAATTTGGAGTACAACTTCTAGCAAGATAGGTTGTGTGGGAATATATCCACTACTTTCCTTTTTGAGGAAAAGGACAATAAGGAATCATTTTCTATATTTCTTTTAACATACGTAGCCGCACCATAGCTGGGATGGTAGGTGGCTCCCAATAGGTTATAATCATGAATCTTGCCTCTGCTGAGTTGCTGTCCTTTTTTTTCTATGTGCGTTTCTTGGAAGATAGCCATATGTTACTGTCCAATAAAAGTTTGGAAACATATTGGCTCTTGGATCTGCTGAGCCCCTCGATATTGATTTGGCAAATTCAAATAATATTCCCAATCTCTCTTGTCATTTGGCCTGAAAAGATCGATTTTTTTGTACTCATTTTTGTTGCCAGGGATTTTGAGAGGCAGGGAACTTTACAGAGTAGTCTGTTTGCCAGCAAATGAACAGCACAGGTTATCT